TAAAAAAAACCCCCAAAAAAAAATAATTTTTTGGGGAGTTTTTAATAAAAAAAAAAAAAAAAAAAAAGAGAAAAATTAATCAGTGTTAGTGCCTGAGACTGAGCCTAGGCAACATAGCCCATCAGTTTAATGACCTTTGCAACACATTGCTTGCAAGGCTTTTTCTGTCCTGCTTCAAAAATAGTTGTATCGCCACTGGGTCTTATTTATGGGTGGGCAAGAAGCTCTGGCTAGCCTTGTCAGTCCTCTCATCAGCTTCATGGGCTCGTTATAGCCACTAGCTGTTGAACATTAATATGCTTTTATCTCTGTCAACTTGGGTACAAATATATTTCCCACTCACCCCACTCCCTTTGTCTTCTGCATTATCATTACTAGTATGGCAAAAACACTAAGGGGAGAAAAATGCTAAAAAAATGTAATGCTGAAATACTCTAAACCTTCTAGAAAAATGCCACCTTAACTTTCTCACCAGTCTTTTAGAAGCAGTGAATAGAATTGTTAATTGGTCTTCTTGGATATATGCCAAAGAGACAGACTGCTTCAAAATGGTAACTTATTGACCTTTTCATGGGTACAAGATTATTTATCTGGCTCTCATTAGGAAGAGCTGCGGCATTGTCTGTTTAATAATGTAGTGATGGCTTTTCAAACCTATTTTCTTTCCAAAATTAGTTCTCATGTGTAATCTGTGTCCTTTGGTTCTTTTTTACAAGGGATGTGTTGATGTCCTGTATTAAGCAATCTCAGCTTAAAATAGAAATATTTAAATGTAACACTCCTTTCAGATCAATTTTGAGGGCATACAGCTGGATTGTTGGAGGGGAGGGGAAATATAGGTCACAAAAGCATGCATTTTATCTGCAGAATAGTTTAAATTGTGGAGAGCAGAGCCCAACTCCAAAGTCTTGCAGCTGCTTGTACCTACCTGGTCTTATTTTGTGGAGGACCTGACACACATGTACCTGGCTTGCTTCTTAAACCCAAACCTGTATTTGCTGCAGATGCAGTGAAGTCTACAGAACCGCTGAGCCTTTGAATGAGGTTGGGTCTTCAATAAAAAGAAGTGATGCTCCACTCCTTCCTTTTACATGGCAGCCTCATGGTTAAAGACCTTGCCCCAGAAGTGGGTGTTGTGGATTATAGGCTCAGCTTAACCTGCGAGGCTGGGACACATGAATCAGAGGAATCTCTTGCGGGAGTCAAGTTCACATGCAGTATAAAGTAACCAGCATGATTAAGGGACACAAAAATAATGCTTCCTGAGCAATGTTTTATTTATCTCTGCCTACCTTGGGTTTGCAATTTAGCAAATACCCACAATAAGTTGATGAGGTAAACAGTGTTCCCAGTTTTGTCAGAGTAGCTCCTACCAATTTGGCATAAAAAAGAGCAGGCATGTTGCTTTATCTGGAGATAAGCAGCCAGAATCTTCCAGGAATTAGTTCCTGAAAGATTTTTTTTTTCTCTGCTGATCATGATGCTATGTTTTCTTAAGTGCTGACTCCAGTAAGCCTTTTCAGAAAGACAATTAATGCTTTGGAAAGCAGCCATCAGCCGTCTGAAAAACAGGTTCTTACCAAGCTGTTTATGCATGGCAAGGGGGGACTCAGTTATAACACAGATTAAAGAGGACACTTGTTTAAAGTGAGGCTACTAAGGATGTATACGTTATATGGTAAATATATTGACAAAACTGTCCTGCAGGAAAGATATTCAGTAAATTGGATTATCTACATTCTAACAAGATTATCCACTTAAAGGCTCTGGAGATTTGCTGGTTGAATAAAAAGAGAGGGAAGATCTAGGCTGCAGTCTAGCTAAATGTTTTTTTAGTTCTTTTTCTGCAATTAATTAAAAGAACATCCTCTCCTGCTCCTAATCACTGTTCTGTGCCTCTGTGCAATCAGTGCTTTGTGCCACCTGTAGATTTACTTCAATATGTAATGATTTGTCAAAGATGCTTTCCTCTTCATCTCATGCTGCTCAGTTGACACCAGTACAAATTTAGCCCTGAACACTTTGGGATTACTGGAAAGATCAGGACTATGGCATCACCCAAGGCCTTGAACGCGTTTTTTTACACACGTATGGTGAAAGCCCTGCTAACCAGTGTGGTATTTTGATGTGTTGGGAGTAAGTTGCGATTGGGAGCAGTGTTTGAGTAGCGTATGTTAGAGTACCATCATCTTTTATTACTGCAACATGAGGATTGAGATTTTCTTGAGAAAGTACTGTAGAAAGGAAAGCTTCTCATGTCTTCTCCTCTGTCCTGCAATAGCTACACACTACTTGGCAGCAGTTTGCTTCTTCATTTACCTACTAAAGGAAATGCATGCCATAATTCGTATTTAACAAGTGGCTCATAAAAAGAATTGCATTAATTTTTAGCATATGACTCATTTAAAATTAAAGGCAGCTTTCAACCAAAACCCTGTACATCTCCAGTAATTTAGGGAGTGTACTTTAAAATACTGTAGGGGGGGAGTTACAGGTTCCTCTTCTATTGCTTCTAGGTTTTTTTGCTAATTCGTTTTACAAAGTATAAGGGTAGAAGTACTTTGAATGATAAGGGCCTTGTGAAATCCACTTGCTTCATTAATCGTGCTTTCTATTTAACTATATGTAATAGTTTTTCAAAGGCATTTTTATAGAGCTTTCTTGAGCACATGTGACAGCTGTTATTTTTAAGCTAACGCAACGTCAGACCACTCTGACTCCTGAGACAAAACAGTCATGCCATTTCAGAAACTATCCCAAATTGGCTTCTTGAATATTCACTATACTTCTTTAATATTTTTCCTGCGTACAATGCATTGCTTTTTATTATAAGATGAGACAAATAACAAGTCGGCTTTTCAACACCTGACAATATTGAGATACCACCTGAGGGAGCTCAGAGCAGTACTTATGCAAGTGAATGACTATTTTATGGACCTATGTGTCACCCTGACTGCCCAAATGTAGGATTTTTTTGTCACATGGAGGTGTTCAGTTTGAGTTCAGATTATGAAACCTGAAAGGTTGCAACTCTCCTGAAGTAATCTAGGTTCATAATAAACATCAAATGAATGCTGTTACTTTTTTCCAGTGTCAACCAGTGCTTTCCATCACCATTCAACTATTCAGGAATGAATCTGCAAAAAAAAATCACATGCAGTAATGAAAGAATATTGTTCTGTTTAAGTGCCAGGATAAAAAATACCTTCCATATACTACTAATATGTTCCTTAAGGAACCAATATTCTCAGTGAAAGGTTACCTTCTCTGCTATCTCACATATTAAAGGTATAACTAAACTTTCAAGAACCCAAATTTTCTCTTTGTTTGGTAAAGTCAAAATGAGGCATTTAGTGACTGGGGAAAAACTCTCAGCTGGTCAGAGCCCAGCCGGGTCCAGCTCCTCCTCCCTCCTGCGCTCAGCCCTCCTTCTAGCCACCAGCAGCCACCAGCTATCTCCTGCTGCACGGCAATATCATATTTGTCCTGCCCTTGCTACTGCTCTGGATAACAAAATTTGCTTACACTAGATATGGTACAGCTCTGTGGATACCTGTGACCATGTTTCCTTGCTGGCTGTGGCTTGTTCTTCAGCATCAGCATTTCTGGGATGGTGTTTCATGGACAGGAACCATAACACAAAGTCCAGTGATGCTCAACGTGGTGGGAGGGTAGTTAAATACAGAGGCCCAGGCCCATTTCCAGTCACACAAACTGCTGAAATGTTCCCATGTGTTCAATTCTTTGCTATTGGAGTGCTGGGGAATAAAGCACCCTAGTTTTCTCTTACTTTCATGAAATAATGCTATTTCCAGTGGAATTAATGTATCCTCTATTAGAGTAGAAGGTTAAAATTGCGGTGAGTTGATACTTTTTTCTTAAAAGAGCTACTATGAAAATAATTATCCTATGTCAGTGCAGTTGATTTCTTAGAATATGGTTGGGAAATTAATACTGACAGTTTCCTGAGATCATCAGGAGGAACTGTGTAATTATCCAAGGTAGGGTTGCTCCCTTGATGTCAGTGGGGCAGAATTCGGCTCCTGCTTTGGAGAAAAAACTTCTTACACTACAATGTCAAGTTTCCTACGGGCAAACCCCCCATTGGAGTTTTCTACGGGCAAACCCCCCATTTGTGGCTAAACTCTGCCTTTTGTGGCTGCCATTTTAAGTCCAATGTTCTTTCTTCTTTGTTAATTATTGCTTCATTCCCGGGGCAGAGAGAATAATCTTCATCTGTTCTCTCCCCCTTAGGTTAATATCAAACACTGGCCTTCGTTTTTTACCTGCTGTCCATAATTTCAGAAAGTTTCACTGTAAGTTTTAATGTCTGCTTTTCACTTTTCAAAAGCTCCAATTGAATGTTCTCCTGCTCCAACAATACCTTTCAAGACGTGATTCCCCTTGTGTTCGCTTATTAGCTTCATGGTAGCGTTTTGGGTTGTAATTTTGTAGGCATTGATGATAATGTGGCCCAAAAGGTCTCAGTTCTCTCTAGGTCTCCCTTCTGCAAAGCATTATAACTTGTACTTTACAGACTGCTCTTCCTTTAACTACACTGTGAGTGTGTGCCTGGATGGCCCAGGGGACAGGTAACAGTCTTTTACTCCTCTTTCACCAGTTGAAATCCAAACCAGGCTGGTGGCAGTGGAAATTTGTTGCCACCTGGTGACATTTTGCCGGCCTGCATGGGAAGAGCTGCTGATCTTGGAGCTGTTTTCTGTGGAGATGTGGCCAATCACAGAAAAAAAAAAAAAGAAAAAATCAGAGGGAAATATCTCTACCATGCTCATTTTTTTCACTGGCAGTGAAACTATCCAGAGAATGAAATATTTTTTTCTATGGAAAATTCCAGTGCCAACAGGGAAAAAACTAATTCTGTAAAATTTTGTGTGAAAGCAGGCCTTTTTTTTTTTTTTCTGTAAAAGCACCTTTTTTTTCCTGTAAAAAAACGCATATCAGAAAAAGTCTGATTTTTTTTCACTGAAAAAGATCTTGACATAAATTTTTCAATCAGTTCTTAGTATAATTGAAAACAGAAAACCCAGGAAATAAGCAACTATTTCTTCTCTTCTTTTGGACAATATATATTGTTAATGTACAGGGAAAGTTCTGCATGTTCAAATCTTTGATTGGAAGATTTCAAGCTACAGAAACATTAATCCTGCAATTGTCTTAGTAATGGCAATTAATAGAAATAAAAATGAATAGAAAACATAGAGGGGGATGCCTGAATATAGTATACACACATAGAAGATAAGAAATAAATTTCTGTAATACACTTGACATATGTAACTCTGAGAATTGCACTTCCCAAAATCATCAAGCAAATGCAACAGATAGAGAGCTACAGAGCCTTCCTCCTGTATACCTTCATGTTTATCATCAGTCTTAACTAGACTTGAATTATTGTGTCCTGAGCAAGCGTTAATTTTTTTTCAGGTGAAACTCCTCACTTTCCTGTAAGAATAAGTAGGTCCTGATACTGCTTGAGTCCCAAAACATACCTTGGTTCAAACCCTGGCCCCACTGAGGTCAATAAGAAAATTCCTGTTGGCTTCAGTTGTACCAATATTTAAGTCCCAAAGATAGGTCTTGGTGGATCATTGATGTTTATAAAGGGCTCATGCAGCTCCTTAGCAGAGGGATACACCTCACTTGTATGGGTGCCATGCTCCTTCCCTATTCCTACCTCTGATGACCTCAGTTTGCAGAATGAGGCCTCTGTGTAAGTGTCACTTAATGCAAAGTTGTGGCTGTATCCAGCTGTCAGCATGACGTAATTTTGGAACCACGCTTAATTTCAAGCTTTGCAGATAATTCAGTTTGTTCCATGCTTTCCAACAGAAACAGCATGAAAACAACCATATCCCCAGTCTAAATGATGAGTAATACTGTTTAACTTCTTTGAGGTTTATTTTCAGCAAGCAACAGAACATATATCTGCCGTTCCTTTTTTCATATCAGTCAAAACTGCTGAAAGACTGAAATGCCTACTTGTCAGCTCAACAAACTGCATTGACAGGGGTCCCACGTCTTAAGTTCTTAGGCACACATAAAGCTTATAAGCAACCCCGTTGACATCGGCAGGGGAATTATTTGTGGGCTGGTAGGTACCCTGCTGAATCAGGCCAAAAAGGCTAATGGCTTTTCCTTCTTCTGGTTGGGAGGCTGCAAGAAGTGGCGGCCTCACAGCCCCTCAGCTTGCATTTTCTGGGCAGTATGTTTGCTGGAGGAACTATTTCATCTGCCTCAGGATTATAAGACCTGAGCTTTTATGCATTTTAATGGCTTCAGCCTATTTGCAAAGAAGTATGGGGGTGTTGGAAATGTGTTGCTCCAGCCATTTTTACCACGAAGGTTTGTGCTCTGCAGACAAAATGTCTTAAAAACTTCATTCGTCACCCTCTGCCTATAATCATTCCTCAGATTGACTATAAGGAAAAATACTGTCTTTGAAATAGCATATCATATTGAAAGGCTTACAGAGGTACAAAAAGGTGTCATTTCTGTTGCATTTTATGTTTCAGAGATATTCAAGACAATATCAATATACGTACAATTGAAAGAAATTCATTCACGGGCCTGAGTTCTGAAAGCGTGATTCTGTGAGTAAGAGACAGTAAATCCGTTATTCTCCTCGTTAGCTCATTTCTTCCCCAGAATAGGATCAAGGAAACCAGGGGATGGGCACTATTTTATGCACTTCCAAATTCACCTTGAGGTTTTAGGCTTTTCCCCTACCCCTGAAATCTCTGTATTCTGTTTTCCTGCCATGAAAAATGAATTCTTTTGTGGGTTTTTTGTTGTATTCTAATCCTGCTTTGTATTTTAGAAGCACAGCATAGAGCAAATTTAGTAATTACTGATGCCAAGGTTAAACATATTCCACCTACAACAACAGTTCCATGAGATACAAATTGCGTTCAAAAGGATGGCATGACTCATAAATATTTACAGTCAGACACATCATTCAAAGGCGTTTATTATTTGGGCAAAATATATGTAGATGTTGTGGAAATGTGGTATATTTGTACACAATGTTAATGCATTGATACAGGCCGGTTCACAATGCAGTTTCAAGCTGCGTGGTTAGATTACTACATTTGACTTGAACAGTCATGTTTTTTAATGAACTATCTGGCTTCTTTGATCCTTTCTGTTGGTATATCAAAACGTACTGTTTGCTTGCTAACAAGCTGCCTTCATTTCACCTAGCCAGTGGCCAGACTGGAAAAATTTCCCACTGTGTGTGTGCAGTTTACCTCGTATACCGAAGCAGACAAGCGAGATCTGATTGACTGATTGGGCTCACGTTGATTTTGATGGGAGCAAGGTCAGACCATCAATATTTGAAGAGAGGCCAGTAACAAGTCACTTAGCTCTTATCTCTCCTTTTCCCCCCATCAGTTATGCACAACCTCTGTCTATGTCAAGTTCCCTGAAGTTTTAAACACAAACACAGTTTTCTCAAATATATGTTCAAGTCACGATACCCTAAATGTAGTGGTTTATCTTTTCTCCTATGATGATAATATTTGCTGCTCAAGTAGGACTTTGTATTTTCAGAGTGCTGCACAACCAGTACTGTATTTGTTTCCATAATTCCACTAAGGGGTGAGATAAATATCCTGGATTTTTACTGTGATTAGACCTCTCCGTGCCACTTGAGCAGAATGAAATTAGATTCCCTCTCTCCCTAGGATGTCCCATTGCTTATATGATTACTGCCAGGGTACTGAAGGATAGTCTTCTCTGAGGACTGAAGGCTGCTGGTTTGCTTGTAAAATTGTTCTGGGGGAGGACTGTGTCCTCTTCCAGCTGCTTTGCCCTGCCTCCTCCAACAGCCCCATTGCCACAGGCTCCCCACACCCGCCAGTGTGTGCAGGAGCAGCAAGAGCTGTGTAAGCAGACCTGGCCACCACCCTCCTGCTCAGATGATGTCCTGGCTCTGCTGTAGTTCTCCCTTGAGACAGGTGCCCGGCATGTGCTCTTTGAGAGTCCCTGATTAGGCTTTCCTTGTGCTGTGATGAAGTTGCCTCATTTTAGACCCAAATTTGCTGTTTTTCTATACAAAACGGAAGTCACTATGCCATGCAATAGAAAGTTACTGTTACAGCAACATCATTTTGTGAAATCAGGCATGTCAAGATGATGTTAAAAACAGCCAGGACCTATTGAACCTCTGCATTCCGGGGAGACCCAATTTTAGCAGGTTTAGCTGTGGCAGGGTCCAAGCATGTTTAAGCCAGTAACTTGGATTGCATCTGATCTTACACTATGCATGGGATCTGCACAGACTGGAACTGTGGATGCATTTGGTAAAGGAGTGCTAGAAATTTGTGGAAGAAATTCACCTTGCTTCCAGGTCTGCATGCCACTTAGAGCCTAAGATAGAGCTTTCCTGCCCTGAAATAGGCTGTAAATAGTACCTCAGGGGCAGTGGCTTCCTGTACTGGGTGAATTTTAAAGTGTGTTTTAAAAATACTGCTATAGCTATGAAATAGCGAGTAAAGCCCATATGTCCAAGCTCTGGATCTCTGCCTCTGTTATCACTTGTTGCTAACATAAGAGTTAGTGGAGTCAGTAAGGATGCTGGTTGAAATAAGGGGAGAATTTATCTCAATAGAAACTTGTCTATATGAAGTATAATGAGATCTTAGGATTTAGGTAAAATTTTGTTTGCTCTTTTTACTACTTGAATGCAATTACCTGGGTGACAAGAGCGTATAGTCCACCCTGTATTGCAACAGTGACTCTGATTTTATGACCTTAGTATCTCATTGCATTAGCATCATGTTCAGTGAGGGAATGCAGTAAGTGCTAATACTGTGATTAAAAGCACATATATCAGCCTGGCAGCTACGAATGGATAAGATCAATGTAATATAATAAAAGTTTTAAATGCTATAAGCAGGGACATGTCTCTCGTCTGTGCCTGCTCACTCATGTCTAATAGTGCTTGCAAGTGAAGGGGACGGTGACAGTTCTCCTGATCCGACCTGACAGACATTATAGACACGGAGCTATGTACATCTGCCTGTCATGGTCAAAAGGGTAATCCTTTCAGCCAGACCCATAACTGATTTTCATGCTGACCTTAGCTCACCACCTTGGACCTTAAATAAGTGGGTCACTTGCATGCTCAGCTTTCAGTGTGAATTAGAAACAAAACGTCCAGGTTTGCTGACAGTTTAATTAAATCAGGCCATTTTTGCCATCAGTCAGACCTGTCATTGCCTGTTGGAGAGGGCGTGAGCTGCAAAGTGACGTTCAAAGCGAGATGAAAGATTGCGCCGTAAAGATGATAAATATAACTGACCCAAATGTAAATTTTTAGGACTGTGAAGGGAACAGAGGGAAGGACGTTAAATGTTAATTAGTTAATGCACTACAGTAAAAACTTGGTGGAAAGCCCCAGGAGGTTCAATGCCCAGATTTACTACCTCTCTCTCTTCTTGAGGGAAGGAGCCCAGGGAGGTGGGACTGGGGCAGCAGAGCAGACAGGGAGTGTAATTTGTCGAGGCAGCAGACTAGGAGGAATCAGCTGCTTCCCGGGCAGTTTGTCACCACTGCCACCCCCCTCCTGCCTGGCTCAGTGACAGTCAGCCTCCCTCCTCCGCCTGCACCACTGAGCATGTGAGGCCACCACAGGCGGTCGTCTTTTTTTTCTAATAACTGGCAAAGGTTAAGCTGTGGCCCAGTGTTTCAAAAGCATCCTGAAAAAAGTAAAACTAAGTGGCACCACAGCACCAGCAGGAAAGATCCTGGTCTCACCCCTCCTGGGATTAACCTGGAACAGCCTCACTGACTTTGTTGCAGCCTTCCCAGGGGAGCTGTGAGCAGCGCCAGAGTCTTCATCAGCTCAGCCCTTGCTTCAGAAACATACTCTAGCTATCATCGCTGGTGGTAGCGCTCACCTGCCCTGTTCATGTCTGTACTCTCCAAAGCTTTCCTCCAACTATTGGGATCTTACAAGCTAGTATTCATAGAAATTTCATCATTTGAATATTCATTTAATGATTTTATTTGTTTAAGATCCCTTTCACTGATTTGAATTACATACGTTTTAGTTATGAAGTATGAATAAGAACCCAGGCATTTTTTTTTTCCTCTATTGCAGATGGCTAAATAAAAATGGGATTCGGGAAATTGAGAATCATGCATTTAATGGAACCTACCTGGATGAGCTGTAACTATTTCTGTTGTTTACTATTGTGAAAAGCAATTATTAGAAGGTAGTAACTGCTGCAAGCTTTTTTTTTTTCATTTCAGATTGTTTTAGCAACAATATTGTTGTGTTTTTCAGAAATCTAAGTGATAATCACAACCTAGAAAAATTGCCAAATGAGGTCTTCCAAGGAGCGAATGGGCCTGTTGTTTTGTAAGTAATATTCAATTTTTTTTTCATTATTAACTCCCTAGAAAAGAACAGAACATGTGAATGCCAGTCTGGATTTCAACATCACACAAATCCTGGAGTTCAGAACTGGAGGTGTAGTTCTGAATATAAAAAAACTGGAAGCTGTATCTGAAATTTCAGCCTAGATCCATATTTTCACTTTGTCCTCAAGTTTTTGGGAGTATTTGGATCCAGGGTTTTAGATCCAGATTCCTCTCCACAGCTGATTAAGCTCTGTAAGAGAGTAGTTCTGCTTAATTTTTTTCCAGAGAAAAATGCTGTTAGTTTTTTGTTTGAGCAAAATCAAGAATAGGTGAGTGGGTCCTCAGTACTTAAATCTGAATTGCTTACCACTGAAGATCTGCCTCTGCATCTCTGAAGCTTAATTCTAAAGAAAAAATCCCTACCCTACAGGGACAGAGATTGGGATGTCCCATCCCCCATAGGGATAGATATGAGATCTATCTCACGCAGTTACAGCAGGATGTCTTTGGTGGGTGATAAGCTGGAAAGCAAGATCTCAGCAGTAGAGAATTCAGCAGTAGGATGCTCATGGATTCTAGTCACCATTACCTCAAGCCATGGTTTGCCATGGGGTCTGAAAATGCTTGTGAGTGTCCACAACTGCTTGTGTTTCTGAGCACAAGCCACAACACATAAGAGCTGCAACAGAGACATGGGAGTCTTTTTTTTGTCTTACCAATTCATCAGAGACTTTCTCTCTGCCCATCTACCCTGGATGTCCAGAGAGGGCTAGGAGTCACCCAGAAAGGGTGAAAAGGGGTCATTGGAGTTGTTGGAAGATTTTACACAGAGGTTAGAGTAGTTAGAAATCTAAAAAAGAGGGAGAAAAATGTCCAGTTAACCTTGAGTTCAGATCAGAGCTCTTCTGAAGGCCTTTTTCCATGTTGTGATGGTCAGTGCACTGATGATATAAATAGCTGCGGTATGGGTTACTGCATTCTACTCCACTTCCATCACTCCCTCAAAGCGTCTTCCTTCTTTGGAAAAGACTGCTGGTGGAGCACCTTTTCAGCAATAATATCATTGAAGTTTCTTTGGAAAAGCATTGTTTCCTGTAGCAAAAAGTAAATGCATTTTCTTTGCAAGCTGTAGCTGATACAATCATATTCTGGAGGTTTATCAAATTGATTTGGCTGTAGTTCAGATTCATTTGATAGTTCAATTTCTAACACCGAGTTATTTGTGTAAGAAGTTTTCTGTTATATTACCAATAGATCTGCTATCCTATGGATGGGAAATTACCTTTTTATCCTGACTGAGATCACAAAAGAAGAGCCTTCTTACTCATCTGTCACTGTAGTATACACCAGGAATGCGCTTTCACTTGTGGAAATGATTGACCCATAATCATATCTTTGCTGGGACAAATAATGTTGTTGCAATCAAATCTGTGTTGCAGACTGCAACGTTTTATTAGAATGAATGTCAGGATGTTTTAACTCTTGATCTTCCTGAACCAGTGTTCTACAGTCAATTAATACCAACTTCTATTTTATAATTCAGCATATTAAAACAATGTGAAAGAAACACAAACACAAATAGTAATGTCAGAAAGTACCAATCTTAGCCCTTGTACAGGCTACCCAGTTTCACGAATCAAATCCACTCTCAGACTTACAGCTCTTGGCTGAATTAGAATATCTCTTTTGGAAAGACATCAAGTTTTGAGTTAAAGGATTTCAGCGCTGACAGTAGGCAAGTAAATCAAATGGCTAATTACTCCCACACCTATACACATTCCTTCTATACAGAAATTCACTGTATTTCCAACTTGGAGTTCCATAGCTTCGATTTTCAGCCAGATTGTTTCATTTAATCACCTTCTGGTGCTCATAGAGCTGTAGTGGCTTACACCAGCTTTTACTGAAGTCCTTAGGAGTTCTCTGTCTGTGTCCTGACTCAGATGCAGGGCAAGGTATGGCTGTGGTCCATCCTATCCTTGCAATTTGTCTTCAACAGGAAAGCCCATATGGGGGCCACAGGAGAGCTCCAGTAGATCCCCAGCTCAACAGCTGAGTCCCCGAAGCACAGCCAGACAGAAGTTTAGATACAAGTATGGAGAAAATTGTTCTCACTGATCAGTCTGCCCCTCTCTGATTTCTGCTCTGCCAGCAATTTCTTGCTATTTCTATATGTGTTTTTCAAACCTCATCAGCTGGTCAGTATTTTTGGTAATCCAACAGAGACTCTCAGTGGGAAAGGGAAGTGATTGGAAGAGAAGTCAGATTCATTTTGCTGTTCCTGCACCGGCTGCTGTCAAGGCTGATGACTAGCAGCCAAGCAACAGCAATACATGTATTCTAGTTTGATTTTGTACTGCCGCTTTATCGTCTTGTTCATCGTGCTTATTTAATTTATCAGGCCTCTGACTAGAGAGGAACACCCCAAAGAACCTCTGCACTGAGGTCTGCTTATGATAACTCAGTGGAGTAAGTTACTAAATCACCTGCACAATGTCTATGCTTGCTGTTCTGGGGTCTGTCAATGGTGTATTGATAACTATCCCTAGCAGACATACCAACAAACCCTGCAGTAGTGTACAAAGCACTTTCTCTAACTCACTTCTGTTTATGTGCAATAATGAGCATAAAAAGAAGGATTTTTAAAAGAAGAAGAAAATATTTTCATGGGAAAATATTTAATATTTATGAAATTATTTAGAGATGCCCAGAGACTCAGTAACATTTTAGCTATTTTTAAGTCTAGGTGATATTCCTATTTATATTTATTTGTTATTGCCACCCAGTGTAATAACAGTTTGGACTCAGTAAAGATTTTTAGCTAACAAGCCAAAGAAAACATTCTCCATGCTCTTGTTCAGAATTATGTGCCCTTGTGAAGTTTCATAGGCTCTTAATGATGCCATGAGTGATGCTGTCTTCAGACTTAGGCAGAAAACTGCTGTTTAGTTGTTGAGTCATGAGCATATACTCTAGGTGACAGTTTTCATTAGGCAGCATACTAAGGGCAACAGTCAGTCCATGAAACAATCGAGTTTGCTTGTTGCAACCTAATTGGCTCTTCAGAAGTCTAAGTCAGAAGTCGATAGCCTAAAATTTCTCTTCAGCTGCAGCTTTTAGCTCCTGTGAGAAACAGGTCAGTCCCAGAACAACCTCAAGACCACAACATGGCTTCTCTCAGCCTGACCTGCAGAAGTTCAAAGTATTTCTGACTCCATGGGTCCGTCTTGCCCTTCCAGTAGAAGTCATGGCCCCAGATCAGGGTAGCAGAGTGAGGTCTGTGTTTGCTCTTCTGCTGCCACAATTCATGGTCCAGTCGTTGAAGGCTCTACATACGTTCAGAGCCTGGCTGCAAAGCCTCCAGCTGTGAGCACAGCATGGACACAAAGATAATCTTTACCCATGGCCAGTAACTGCTTTATTAGCTGCATATGAATTTTGTAGACTTGGCCATCCTAAGCTAAAGACCATGAGTTCAAACAGAGCCATTTCCTGGTATTAATTTTGCTTCTCAGAACGGAGAACAGAGGTGCAAATGTGCATATGGTACATAGCAACTGTCTGAAGTTTATTACATGCTGCTAAAACCTGGTCTCCCCCTCATGTGGCACCACTCTACTGCATTAATATGATAATAAAAACAATTTGTGCATGTTGGGTAATAGAGATCAAATAACATGTTGTCCTGACATCGTACTGTTACAGATGAATTGGAAACTGTCTTGGAGGGGGCATGGAGAAAATTACAAATATTGTTGGTCCAATTCCTTGATTAGGAAAAATTCCTTTCTTTTGTCAGAGAATAAACAGCAGAGCAGCCTCAGCAAACACTGCACCCTGGATCAGTCTCACGCCATAAGAGTATACAGGCTAAGGGAGGACAGGGTGATTTTGCATAGTCCATTTTACTGTTTCTCTAAGAGAAAGAAGTTTGCTGTCACGAGCTGATATAGTTTGTGCCCTAGTGAGGGAAATGTGAGGACATTTTACCCCAGCTGTTACACCCTGGAGCCATGGGGATGGGTTCTCAAATATCTCTTAGCCTGGAGATGGAGCACCCTTGGTCCTTGTTCCCTTTCCCCACCTGCATGGAACAAGTCAAGATTTAGTGTGTGGACAATGTTTTTCCTTCTAAAAGCCTCACTAGTGCTCTCTTTACTCCATTTGTAGCTGCTGCTTCCATTGCTGCCTTTGACTGCCTGTCCCACACAGTAATTGCCTTCCACATAAATACCTCTCCTAACCTCCTGTAATCTTGCCCCTTTCTTCGCTTCAGTCTGTGCTCTCTTCTTTTTAAACTTCCTGAAATGTTTTGTTATTTTTGCTCCTCACAGTTTGAACCATGTCACCCCTGTCTCTCCTTGATCTCTATTTCTTTCTAATGAGTACAAAACCTGATATCCCCAACCTCTCCTCACATCTGTACCCCCCCCATGAGCTTCTCTCTTTGTGTTTACTGCCTTTTTCACAGCAGCCTTCCAATGACATGATGTTAATGTAACAAACTTCTGTTGTGATTTCATCAGCCTTTTTTATCCTGTAACGGTATTCTCAGGTGATTGGTGCATTTACTGGGTATTTACTAAACCCAGAATCATATGGCACTAATGGTTTATGTTCCTGCTAATTCTTACTCAGAGGGTTTGGGGATTTTTGTTCTTTTTTCTCAAACCAGACTAACATCACTTGATGGTTGTTTGTAATATTTGTTCAGGTTTCCTGGAGGAACACCTAATTTATCCGTGGATCATGTTTTCAGCATGGATTTCCAGCTGAGCTCTTTCCAGTCACTACTCTGAGAATGAATGGGACAGTCTAAAACCTATATCCACTGTCGAACAGAAGTAAATTTGTTTTTTACCAAGATTTTCATATGTTTTCTTAAAGGGATATTTCAAGGACAAGAATCAGTTTCCTGCCAAGTCATGGATTAGAACTCATTAAGAAGCTAAGAGCAAGGTCTACATACAATTTAAAAAAGCTTCCCGATTTAAGCAAATTTAGATCTTTGATTGAGGCAAACTTCACCTATCCTAGCCATTGCTGTGCATTTACAAACTGGAAAAGGCAAAAGTAAGTGATTTCATTTGTTTTTCTTTTTGGTGCTTCTCAACAGTTGATAATGAATTAAATAAACTTCCTCAAAGTCTGGATAGGAAACGTCTCTTCTGTGCAAGTAAGTAAATGGATAGAAATAAATAAATACACAATACATACATGTTTATGCATGCTATGCAGTTCACTGCCTCTCCATTCCAGAGAGGTAATAAATTTTCATAGCTGTGTTAACATCAGCATTTTCCCCAGCTGCGGCTCTAGCCCCCACCTGTCATTGGTCCATCTTTCATTGGGACCTGCCATCCTGGATCAGCCTGGAGCCATGCTGAAGACATTCAACAGGAAAAGTTTGCTAACTTTTCAGGAGGTAGCTGGAGGGAAAGCTGTGTTTGCAGAGAAGTTTGTCAATACTTGGCCACCAATTCAGGAGGGTAACAGGACCGCTGAGTGATCTTAAACTCTTCTCTCAGAAAGCCACACTGAAATAGGAACATTGTCCAACCAAATGCCACAGATATGTTATCTGTCGAGTCTACATACACATTTTTGGACATGATTTCTGAAATGGTTAACCTAGAGCAGACTCCTTATATCCAAATCAACAGAGAGGGTGGGATGTTCTTTTTAGACTCCCAAAGTAATTTTCCATGCTTATTTTAGTTTTCCATTAGCAAGTTGCAGTGAGACTTCAGGTATCAGTGATTCTCACTGACTATTTTCAGTTGCTCAGATAGACTTTAAATATATACATTAACTAGCTAATGAACCTCCTGAATTTGTGCCCCTGGAAAACAGGAGGAACTGGTACCTACAGAAACCCCTGTCATTGTTCAAAGTTCTTCCTTTACTGGATGTCCTCAAAGACTTGGAATTTGCCATGGCAGAAAAGAAAATGTGGGTCATTGTTGCAATTCAAGACATTGTCTTCAGAAGTTGCCTAAAACTTCAAAGAAAAGTAAAACCATGCATACAAAGCATAAACTATTAGTAGTGATAGCTAATAAATATCACCTATGTGTGTTTGCAAAACTACCTGTGTAAAGAGTGCAAGTCCGATGGTGGAGACTGCAGTGTTTATCAGTTTATCAGCAGGAGACATTTTCACATGTTTCTTGGTATCTTGCTAAGTAGAAATGAGACCGGTCCTTCCAGCACTGGTGGCAAAGTGATATTTGCCGAAGAGTCCAATGGAAGCATGTTTAGTCCTGAATCTGCAAAGGGACCTTAATATCACTGTGATTCATATTTTTGAAGGTACTTGGCTTCTGGGCTGCTTAGGCCAAATCAGGACCCAAATCCCAGAATCCACCCCTTAAATTAGGCAAATGGACTTTTCAAAAACAGAGTAAGAGTTACTGTTGAAGGAAAGCTACACGAGGAAATGGTAAGCTCTGGTAAGCTCTCAGTATCTAGTCCCCTCACTTGGGCTTTAAATAACTTCTGTGTGAAAGAGTTATCAAGCATTGGAACAGGGTGCCCAGGGAAGTGATTGAGTCCCCATCCCTGGAGGTATTTAAAAGACATGTAGATGCGGCACTTAGGGACATGGTTCAGTGGTGGACTTGGCAGTGTTAGGTTTACAGCTTGACTCGATGATCTTAAAGGTCTTTTCCAACCTAAATGATTCTAGGATTCTAGGATTCTATGTCATGCTTGCCCCAGGGAACTGAAGCCCACAGCACTCACTTCCCCCTTAGTACAGCACCACTTTCGGAAGCCTCTGCTCTGGCAGGTAAGAAGCCAAGGAGGACACTTATAGCCCTTCCCACAGCCTGGGCAAGTGCAATTTTGCAAAGAAATGCCAATGAACTGTGCAAAACTCTCGTAACCCAAGTGCAGATGGTCAGCAAGCTGAGCTGGAGCACTACACAGCAGTGAAGCTGCTTCTGGAGCAAGTCTGGTCACGACTGCACAGTCCCCTATAGTATCAGGTGTAATGCAATGGTAAGAAGAGTATGCAAGTGGGAGATGCTCTTCTTTATGTGATGTATGGTTACTTGAATAAATGTGCACATGGACTGTATCACCCTTGTCAACAGAACAAAGTTGAATGTATTTATATATGGTTTTAATAGTTATCAGACGTATCTTTTAAAAATATTAAGCTTAAATGCAAAATTATTAGAACTAATTATTTAAATCAACTCTTCCTGTTAACTGCTTTAAAACATAATTAAAAATGGTAATTTCTTTCACACAGTCATGTGTCTTGTACTAAATTGATGGGAGACTGATATTCTCTCTCCAGCTTAAAAATAGAAAATGGATGCATTTTAGTTCAGTTTGAATACCGAAGGTATTACCATACACTTCAGCTGAGATTAGTCACACGTACAGTAGCTACACTCACTTTCATTTTAAAGCAGTTTTCTTGACAGCTGGCACAAGCTGCATGTGCATTGAAGACTGCTCGGGTTGTTTAAGAGTTATTAATAGTTTGCAGTGCTTGATCACACCAGTGTGTTATCTCTTTGGCAAGAGCTGTGCTTGGTTCGATGCAGCAGGCATTACCTGTGGTGGTGGTAACAATGATGTGACCTGACTTGCCATGCACCTTCACAGGAGATGGTCATTCTCCCATGTCCATTTGGGTCTCAGATTACTTCCAGGTAGTCCAGGGAGGATAAAAATTATGCCTTGTCACCCCGAGAAGTGCATTTCTATGGATCACGGCAGCAGTTGGTGTTCATGTGGGAAATTCGGGAAGAAATTAAGACAGGGGTGTGTGGCCCCTTTCTGGCTGCCCCATTTATGTAAGATTTTCCCTCTTTGAGACTTTTGCAGTACTCGAGAACCTTAGATAAAATAAGTTGCCATAGTGGATCGTGCTTGATCACCTCTCCCAAATCTATCTGCACTGGCGAACAGGCTCTGTTGTGATAGCAGAAAGCTTAAACCTGTTCCAGCAGCAGTGCTTTCTGAATTTTGGAGGATGTCGCATCAAGCACAGCTCCACCAGACTGAGACACAAGTTAAAACCTAGGCAATTTTGATTTTTTTTCCCATCCCAAGAAGGATTATATGATAAATATTGATCTGTAGATTTATCACACTGGAATATTGCGATACTGGCCTAATGGAAGATAAGCTGCCTTCTTAGGACAAGCCCAGTGCAGTATGTTGAACTCCTCTCACATTTTTCTGTGACTGGAAAATAATATTCTTGAAGTGTGGATAGGGCAGAGGCTGGAAGTTAAAACCCTCAACTTGACATAGACCATTATGAACTTCAGCAAGCTTTTGACTTTCTTTTGACGTAAAGAGAACCTTCTGCCTAAAAGAATGACATTGATATGACTCTGTCCTTACACTTGATCATTATTCTTTGGAGGAGCTGTCACTTGAAATCCTATTTTTTAAAAAAATATGGCAGCATCAGGAGTTGAGTTTGAGCCTCATCTCATGAGAACTTAATATCAGTTGTTCACAACTCACTTGATGCCACTTTTCAGTGAGGATGATTGGTTTGAGATAGGGCTTAATACAGAACACAGGTCGGGACTGTTTATTGTGCTGAGTGTGTTTCTCAGCACACAAGATCCTGCTGTCCAGACAGCAGATCCAGATCCAGACAAAGCACATAAAATAACTATTTGTACAAAGGTAGTCATTTTTGTCTATTTTTGTCAGAGCACTCTGCCAATTTTAATGTTACTCTTTAAGTTGTCCTTTCTCTAGTTTGTTTTTTCAGAGGCATTACTTGAGCAAAGCAATGTTAAACAGTAACAGAGGGTTACAAATAGACTGAATAAATGAACTGTGTTAAGACACCTACTGTCTCAAAAGGAAGCAAGCATCCCTTGCCAAAAAATGTTTTAACTTGTTGCTCTGAATGCACTGTACAGCCCAAACAGCAAATATCTCAGGGCAAAGAACCAGTAAGCAGTCAGTACCAGAGGATGTCTCTTCTTTCCCCTGGGAGTTTGCAGCTGCTCATCTTATCTGCTCACAGTACAGGTAACCAGATGGGAGACTCCTCACCACCCATCCTTGGAGCAAACAGAGCAGCTAACTCTGTGGGAACCTGATTTTATTTGGGACTGCTGGCTGCAAAATAATTCAAGAATGAATAAATTGTAATAATCAGAAATATTTAATTGGCCTTACATAGCAGTCTTATCAGGGGACAGACTTGGCTCCAGGCAGTGCCTCCATAATTTGGGAGAAGGTTTATTTTTAACTCATAGCTGAGAAATGTGTGGATAAAAACATTTCCCTCAGTTCATTTACGAGGAACCACCAATTGCAGTAGCTTTCAGGGCCCTCAAGTGCCTGTTGCACTCAAAACTGAGGGACTTTCTCTCCCATTATTGCTCCTTGGAAGCATATATTCCCTTTCAGCTAGAGAACTGTTGATATATTGATCAATACACTGGACCCCTCACTCATCCTTGTGCCAGCAGAACACAGGGGAGCAAAATGTAATGCCTTGTTATTGCTATTGTGACCTCCATAGTGCATACTTGACCTCACAGAAAATCAGTTTTCTGCCTCAGTTGACAGGCAAAATAAAAAATATTGATAATAGTAGAGGATGCTCAGAACCTCATACAAAATGTCCCTCACCTTCTGGTGCTGGGCCTTCATTAGTTTTCCTTTCTTGCAGACCTTTTAAACTCGATTTTTGGAAGATGTAGTGAGTGCACAAAGTCAAAGGGTAAAATTAGGTTACAAAAAAGAATTCTCCCTTTTAAGCTGCTACCAATTGTTTAACAATTTCAGCCTAACTTGCCTAGAAAGCTCTTCTCTCAACTGTACTGCCAGTCAGGGTGGAAGATAAGCTGGGGTCCTGTCCTAGAAATTATACACCTAAATTGCTGTCTAGGCAGTAGATGAAAGTAGGCAGAGCTGAACTGTGTTGGTTCTGCAACACATTGTCAGCTGTTTCATTCCCTAACTCAGATTAGGTCTGGATCCATTTTATGCAAACCTATGGATGCAAGCTCCTGGGACACCAAATTTCAGGCTGGATTGATGGGCTGAGGCCAACTGTATGAGGTTCAACAAGTCCAAGTGCCAGATCCTGCACTTTGGTCACAACAACCCCAAGCAACGCTACAGGCTTGGGGAAGAGTGGCTGAAAAGCTGCCTGAAAAGGACCTGGGGGTGCTGGTTGACATCCGGCTGAATGTGATCCAGCAGTGTGCCCAGGTGGCCAAGAGGGCCAATGGCATCCTGGCTTGTATCAGAAATAGTGTGGCCAGCAGGACCAGGGAGGAGATAATGCCCCTGTACTTAGCAGTGGTGAGGCTGCACCTTGGAGCGGCTGAGGGAGCTGGGGGTGTTTAGCCTGGAGAAGAGGAGGCTGAGGGGAGACCTTATCACTCTCTACAACTACCTGAAAGGAGGTTGGAGCGAGGTGGGGGTCGGTCTCTTCTCCCAGGTAGAAAGCAACAGGATGAGAGGAAATGGCCTCAACTTGTGCCAAGGGAGATTTAGATTAGATATTAGGAAAAATTTCTTCAGGGAGAGAGTGGTTAGGCATTGGAACAGACTGCCCAGGGAAGTGGTGCAATCACAGTCCCTGGAAGTGTTCAAAAAATGTGTGGATGTGGTGCTTAGGGGCATGGTTGAGAGGTGGACCTGGCAGTTAGGTTAATGGCTGGGCTTCATGATCTCAGAGGGCTTTTCCAACCCTAATAATTCTATGATTCTATGATTCTATGATTTTGCTGTAGCGGTAGCAGTTAGGCTTAGTTGGTGAGCTGTGTTAGGACTTGTGAGCTTCTGGAGATCCTTTCACTGTAGTGGCTGTGGTTGAAACAAAGGTGCAGAGTTTGGGATGGATTTACCATTCCCGTGGAAAGACAGCAGCTCATGATAAAGCTAAAATTGGTGGAGTGGAGTTCACTTCACTTGGTTTCAAATCTATTTTCTTTAAAAAAGATTTTTTTAAGCAAAATGTTCTACCATGTCTTGTGTTTGTATCTGTGTGGGCATCTGGCTTCTAGAGATTATCTGGAAGACGGCATGAACTTACTTATGCTATTTATTTGTGTTAATGGCCAGTTACCAATATGATATGAGATACTCAAAATGAATGACACAAACTGGAGTTGTTCTGTGCCCTGAAGGAGTTGCAACATTGTACATGGCACACTGACTGCCAAAAACTTTAGGAAAAAGGGAATTCGAGAGTAATACTAAGGGATAGTAGCATTATTGTGATTATACAGACTCCTTATGGGCACAGCTGAATTGACTCATTCTTCAAAGTTCAGTCTTATGTAGGAATTCATCATCATGTGTTTCCCCCATGCAAGAATCAGCTTATCAATGACAGGTTATATGTGAGAAATTCGGTTGAAATAAGGACGGCTTCTTACAGAATGTGCCTGTCCAGGTGGATAACTGTGTCATGATTTCTAGTAAAGCAAATATTTGGCTTTTCTTTCCCTTACATTTTATTATGTTTCCAAGTCATTTACATTTTTGTGTAATATTTTATAAATAGGGACCAGACAGACTATTAATTTCAAGCTCCAGGGTAGTCTATATAATCAGCTAACCAGAAAAACTCAGCCATTAATGGAAACTGGATGGTTTCATGTTTGTTGTATGCCTCATGCTGTGTCTCTTAGTTTCCAACTCTACTCTTTTTACAATTTCAGCACTGAATTGCATCCGATATGTAGCATATCTCAGGCCAAGCAAGGCGAGAAGATACATAGGCGATCTGCAGCTGAAGATTATATTTCCAACTATGGCATAGGATTTGACCCATCAGAGAATGAATTTGACTATGGTTTATGCAATGAAGTAGTTAACGTAGCTTGCTCACCTAAACCCGATGCTTTCAATCCATGTGAAGATATCATGGGATACAACATTCTGAGAGTCCTGATATGGTTTATCAACATTTTAGCTATCACTGGGAACATTGTTGTCCTCATTATTTTAATAAGCAGTCAATACAAACTCACCGTACCTCGTTTTCTAATGTGCAATCTTGCATTTGCGGATCTCTGCATAGGTATCTATCTGTTGTTTATTGCATCTGTAGATATCCAGACCAAAAGCCAGTATTACAACTATGCCATAGACTGGCAAACTGGGGCAGGATGCAATGCTGCAGGATTTTTTACAGTATTTGCAAGTGAACTCTCAGTCTACACGCTGACTGTGATAACTCTGGAGAGGTGGCATACCATCACCTATGCCATGCAGCTGGACCGCAAGGTACGATTTCGTCATGCTGTGATTATAATGATTTTTGGCTGGATGTTTGCTTTCACTGTGGCACTTCTTCCCATATTTGGAGTCAGCAGCTACATTAAGGTCAGCATCTGTTTGCCCATGGATATAGAAACACCGGTTTCTCAGGCTTATGTTATGTTTCTTTTAGTGTTGAATGTACTTGCATTTGTGATCATATGTGCCTGCTACATCTGCATCTACTTTACTGTGAGAAACCCTAATGTCATCTCTTCAAACAGTGACACCAAGATTGCCAAGCGCATGGCCATACTGATCTTCACGGACTTCCTCTGCATGGCACCAATATCTTTTTTTGCAATATCAGCCTCACTCAAGGTTCCTCTCATCACAGTGTCCAAATCCAAGATCCTTCTGGTTTTGTTTTACCCCATCAATTCCTGTGCTAACCCTTTCCTCTATGCCATTTTCACAAAGACTTTCCGCAGGGATTTCTTCATTCTGTTGAGCAAGTTTGGTTGCTGTGAAATGCAAGCCCAGATTTACAGAACAGAGACCTCCTCATCTGCTCATAATTTCCACACAAGAAATGGCCATTGCTCTCCTGCATCAAAAAACAGTGATGGGACTATTTATTCATTGGTTCCTATGAATCACTTGAACTGAAATGCTTGCATGAATTTGTGTCTGAGGCAGTGTGATAATCACTTTCAATTGTGAATTTGAATAATGACTTCAGCATAGAATGTAAACTTATGTTTTATGGGAAAACATTTCTATTTCCACTTTGCTATTTTTGTCCAATGAACAGCCATCAGAGATGACACATCATCTTCATCAGTTCTTGAAGGACAAAGAACAAAACTTCAGTATGTGCCAAAGTGTCCTTGTAGAATTGTCTCAAGAAATAAATTAGATTATAAACTGGTATCTCCCACTGTACAGGCAGAGATTCCCTTTGTTCTAGCAAGATGTTAGCTGCTTACTGAGAATTAAGTCATGGTTATATATGGTTGAAAGAAAAAATATGTAGAATTAATTTTTTTGTCTGTGAAGCATGTTATAACAATGACAGATAATTAGCTCTTTTCATTAATCATATCTCCTGGCATTACAGGAGACAGAAGGCCAACTTAAAGCCCTCCTTCAGCACAGACTTACTAGGAATGAGAATATCTTGTGTAGTTTCCATTTCTGTTCACCACAACAGAGGGGTGGAAGGCATCTCCAGCTAGGCTGGTGTTAGCTGTTCCACACTGCATGGACCTGCCTTACTCTGCACAAAACTGTCACTTTGGGTAGGATTTGTGTTGATCTAGACTGGCAGGCTCAGAGAACCAGACTTCATCTGAGTTTGGATCAAGGAGTTTGGTTTGGGATTGGTTTTCAAGATGCGAAAGAGCAAGAATGAGAGCAGGAGAAACCCTTCATAATAAAGAGGATGTTTTCTCAAGTTGGTCTCACAAAGTTGGGTTGAAATCACTTTCATGTGGCTGGACCCCTTGGGTATTGTCAGATGGGCCAACAGGCTGCTTTAACATGATACCTGAGGCAGGTTCGCCATGCAGTAGTATTAGTGTATTGCACTGTCTGGGTTATGTAAAGGATGATGGGCCCGATACAGCTTTTAAAAATCTGAACAAAAGTTTTTGTGAAATCCTACAAGTTTTCTTTCCCCTTCCCTTCTAAAAAAATCCTTCATGTGCACATTATCAGATGATGGTCCAGATTTAAAGACCTGAAAGAAACCATACACTGCATCTGTTGAAATAACAAAAAAGAAAAAGCTCTTAATCAAGATTTCCTAACTTTACAGAGGTTTTAAATAACATATCAATGAACAGACTTTTTACATTATTTGAATATCAAACTTTTTGAGGCTTAATCATTCCAAATTGCACCAAAGATTTAGGTTTGGGTAGGGTTTTATCATGCTGATTGTATGTCTATGTGTGGGTATGTGGGTGCAAAGAAAACACCGGGACAGGAGTCTGGGCTTCATTCCCACATTACAAACAATTCATGGTTTTGCCCCATGAGATTATAAATCTTGGGAGTCTTCATGATTAAATGTGATGAGCTTTGAATATTTCCTGCCTACAACTCCTAAAATTTCAGTAGTAATTCTTGATGCTTCTATCCATAATTTTCCCTGCCATCAGCTTCACATTTCAGCATCTGAACCTGATATGAATAACTACAGGAGATGATTATTCATTCAGTCCTAGCCAGGGAAGGAAGTATCAGTTCCCTACTGCATAAAACAGGAGAGATCAAAGATAGTTTGTATTGGGGGGGAAATTTCATTACTCAACACAGGTAACACTCCCTCCAAAATCCAGGAGAAGGAAGAATGAAAGAGCAAAACAGGAAAGACAGTTCATCTCTGGGAAGCTCTTCTGACTACTCAGAGGAATAATTTATTCACAAATGCTTTATGTCAATTACAGCGTACTGGTGTGCAGCCATTAAAACCCATCCCAATGGAAGTGTCTGAATGATGATGTTCCAAAATGGTAAATATTCTAGTTGCATTAAGAAAAGGTTCCTGAATCTATTCTTGGGCCAAAAATGAGGGGTGTTCTTTGGCAAATACTAGCCCATTTTTGTTGATAAATAGGGCAAATTCTTGTAGTGCATCACACTTTTTTGCCGGGATCCTGAGCATTTGCAAAGGCAATAGGCTGAGACCTGGCTGTTCAAGAAAGTGCAGGCATAGTCTATAAGCCAGTCTTGTAAATCCTTTCACAGCTATGTCAGGCGCATGAGCTTGGTACAGCTCACCTACTTCATGCACAACTGTTGCTCAGACATTTGCAGAATCGGGACCCAGTTAAATACGCTTTACAAATAAACACCCCTGAAAAGAGACCTTGCAGGTTTGTGTCTTGTAGCCAGAGTCAGATCAGGGCCCAAGGGATAAAGCCATCTAGCCCATGGCTCTTCCTCCGGAGGAGACAAGGGATGGAGGATACTTGAAGACCAAATAGAGCCTGCATAACCAGACACCTTGCCTCATCCCTAGCAGGAGGACAGCACAGAAATGCTTCAAGCACATGTCATCCTGCCCACATGTGCTGCGCAGGAGCTCTGGTGACAGCTCAGGCTGTGACAGCAACTCCAAAGCTGGGAGGCTGACCATGTGGTTGCCAAGACAAAAACCTCCTTCCTGTAATCCTCAGATCTCCTTGGCTTTCAGTATTCTTTGGATTTTAATTTTAAGCATCTTCCAAATTGTGAGGGCCATCGTAGGACCTGTATCTTTCCCTCTGTGGGACATTGGTCCTTTTATAGAAATGTTTTAGAGCAATGTTTTTTCTTTGAAGAAAGCAGTATAAGAAAAAAAAAATGCAAGATACATTTTATTCATGCTTGTAATGTAAAAAAAAAAAAAAACTGCTGGTGTCTGATATGGATTTTCTCAACACTGAACAACATGTTTATGTGTGTAATCTTTAAACTATTTTACATTTCCCTTTCTGAGATCTATTTTAATAAAACCAATATCAAAACAAAGTGCCTTTGGAACAAGTGTATGGCCAGAGATATGCTGACGAAGTATGCAATAAATGTTACTGCTTATCTGGAGAGCTCCATTTATGCAGCACAGCCTCCACAGTCGGGTCACTGTGACCTACAGATGAAACTCAGCTGATGAGAGACTCTGCAAAGAAAACCCTCCTGTAGCCTCCTGCAGAGTTAATAAAGCACAGAAAGGTATGTTTGGAACCTCTTAAACAGATAACTTAGCAACAATGACTTGTCTTTTTTTTAACCAATCACTTATATTAGTTCATATTTCTTATGAAATAAGATATAAACCATTGACAGAACTTTGACAGGCATTTTTCTCCTTTCTAGTATACATAAATGGCTCTTAAGTGGTGCACTTTAATTTTCTTTCCCTTTTTTTTATAGCCAGGGCTTGGAGCTCTGTTTTGCTGAGTCTTTTGTTCAGACAAATAAGTGTGCATCTGTGCGCGCATATGTGTGTGTAGGAGAGACAGGCCACAGGTAACAAGGAAACCAACTCTCTGATTCACAGGAAAAACCCTGGAGTTGTTCTAACTTGGAGCCCATTGCTAGCTCACTCCAAAGACCATCTGACAGCCAACGATATTGCAATATCTTCTGGTTTTCCTCCATACACTTACATGGCCCTTGCATTTCAGTCTCCACCAAGCCCCAGAAAATTCCCAGTTAAAGAGTTATGGCTGTCTTTGCCCTTCTGGTGCCATCATCAGAGTGACATAAAGAAACTGTGCTGACAGTGAATTTGCTGCCTTTGAGGACATGATAAACAACTTCATCTGCTTGATAGAAGCATCACTCCTTCAGGCATATACCTTGTGGGGAACCCATACCTGACCTCCCCAAGAAACACATATCTAGTGTTGTGATGGGAAGTGAGAAATGGGGCCACTTGGGCTTGGCAGACTAAAGGCTGCATCACGAAAATTGCCACCACAGGTAAAGGTAATGGGAGCAGCTGGTCAAAAACATCAATAAAAGCAAAAACCTTACTCAGTAGAGAAAAGAAACCATGAGCCATTTTCTTTACAACATTGCTCTGGGAGTTGCACAGATATGCCAGGCAGGGTTTGCTCATTAGAAGGCAGGTCTACATTTGAGCTTGTTAAGAATGCAAGACAAGGCTTTGCATCCCATTTAGCAAGTCTTCAAATAATTTGACCACATTTCTTTCCTGTAGATTCCCTCCTAATCATTCCACAGAGGACACAGCAGATAATCTTACATTTAATTTATGCATCTTTGTTGTTAAGAAGAGTTAATAATGTGAAATGATTTATCCTTGAGGAATAATTTAACCATCACTCCCCTCCCTGAATGAATGAACAGAAGAGAAAGGTAAGTCTGGTTCAAATGGTCAAATAAGCACATGCAAACCGCCTCACAGATTTGCATCTTTAATATGGCATGTGTAATCTCCCATTGTGTATGCAAATGTGAATTGCATGTACACATGCTTCTTCAGAGTGAGTGTTTGGTCTAAGTGCTTGGTTACAAGCACATATTTGAAAATCTGGGCCTTGTTGCTTTAAAATATTCAAGCAAAGGAGTAGAATTTTATAGCTGTCATCTGGATAATTAAACTCTTCATTAACAGTTGTTCTCGAACCAGTGGGTGACCTTTAATTAGGGATGAAAGTACTCAGGAATGGATTTCAAGCATTAAGAAACTGCAGAGGACCTTTTCCCCCCCCCACTCCCCCAAGTTCATTGAAAACCATTTGTAAAGCTTTGGTTTTCCAAGGGAAATAATGCTGGGTGAGACAAAAATATGTTTCCACGTCCAACACATCAGACAAATGCTTCACTTAACCTTGTTGTAACTAAAATACCGTGTTTTCTTTTTTCTGTCTCATGCAGACTTTGCCATGTGTTACCTGGATCTTCGTTACCCCAAGCTGGACACCTGCACCAAGTTGTACCCACACCAAAAAAGAACAGGAAAAATTAACAAGATCACAATGAGAGCAGCACACAGATGGGAACATGCTGTATTTGTGAGTGGGTGAAGATTGCAGGGCAGGATAGAGCAATATGGGCTTTTCTGTTAAGTCATCCAAATAGCCAGTGCTAAAATTCTGCATTAAAGGGGCTATCTTGGCTTAACTATAGTTCCCAGGGAGGGAGCAAGCAAC